AAGATAAGCATGTAAATGAATCCAGATATCTGCCAATCTGATTCTCAGCCTGGGTCTGCGGCTTGCTTGAATCCCAGCTGATCGTCTTGAATTCACCTTGTTGGTTTCAAGGAATGGTGACAACTGAAAGTGATTGCTTGGCGGCTTATGCTGTTTGAATATTTTCGATCCACTTGTGGTTCTTGGTTTCTTTCCTTCAATCGCTGCCCCATGCTGTTGTTGAAGCCACCACTCGACTACCAGACAGCAAGTTGGCAGTCGCCCGCCAGGGCCGCTCAACCAGAGCGTGAACTTAGTTTAGTTCCCCATGTTTTGTTCTTTGTATGGGTCTGTGTTTTTTACCGTGTCAGTTCTTTAGTCTTCGTGGGAGGTGGGGCTTGGGCGAGCCATACCCCCGAATCATACCCCGAACCATACCCCCGAGCCATACCCCGAGTCATACCCCTGAAAACACAAAAAAAGAACTTGCAAGAACTGTGGCATTTGCATGTGATCCATGATGGAGTTATAGAGCAATCCTGCGGATGTCCTGGTACTGGAGTTGTCTGTAGCATCCGTGGTGCTGTGGCGGGGGGGTGCAGCTTGACGTAAAGACGCTGGGACTTGCAAGGCGCTGTGGCGGGGGCTGCCGCTGCTGAGCTTGAAACTTGGAGCTTGCTTCCTGCAGTCTGTCCGACACGCGGTGGAAACAGCTGTCTGTCCTGGGCCACTGTCGCAGTGAAACACAAGCTGTCTTTGTGCTCCTGGCGTACTCTTGGTGTCTTTCCGGTGGTGTCTTTCCGGTCGAACAAATCTGTCCCCCGATTCATACCCCGATTCATACCCGATTCATACCCCGATTCCTACCCTTCTGCTGCCATTTGCAGCCAAGAGCGTCTTACGCTCTGGGCAGTACTAGCGAAGCTATGCCGCCCAAATCCTCAGAAGACACAAAACTCAAAGAGAAGCACTGCAGGAACCAGCTCGCGGCTCTTTTCGCAGAAGTTCGCCAGAAGGTGGGTTCGGAAGGCTTACTGCGATGTATCAAGCGCGACACGGTACACCACCTGTGAGAGGCCCACTAGCCTCTGCGCGGCTGCCGTTTGAGGATGTCACGCTGTCTTGCCCTTACGCTGGTTTGCGGGTGGCGGGCCTGACTGGGCAGCGGCGCTTCCCCTTAAGCAACGCTTGCTTGGGTCTGTGAGCACGCGGGTCGCTTGAACTCCAAGTGGAGGTGGCCATGACATTCGCCTCAGGCAGTGGCTTTGAGCCTTCCACCTAGCGCAGCAGCTTTCGCTAACCCACTCACGCAGAGTGGCAGCTGTCTAGTTCAGGCCACTCACAAGCGCCCCAGGCTGGCTTGTAGCAACTAAGCGGTCCAAATTCTCACGGCTATCCAGTTGCCAGCGCACGGGAGCTTTGCAGCGTCCAAAGCCACAAAGCAAGAGTTCAGAGGCGCGCGAGCCATACCCCGAATCATACCCCCGAGCCATACCCCGAACCATACCTGCGATTCATACCCCTTATACCAACCTCCCGGCACGGCCACGTCAAAAAAACACGTACCCGTATATGACACACTAAAAGTTTCACGATTCTTCTTTTAGAACATGACCCAAAGCCGTGGGGAGCCCAGTGGTTTCTCAAGAGAGTGGGCTAAGAGATTGAGGGATCTACGACCATGGGCCATACATCTATAGGCAGGAAACAAGTGTGGCATGAAGGCAGTTTGACCCTACCACTAACTCAGCCAAGATTTCAGGGGGTCATATCAGCAGACCCGAGGCAGTCGCGTTGAATTTATTTCCACCTGAAAGGAATTTTTAATTCTCAGTAGGGTGTGCCTGTTTCTAGCCGGCCCCCCCCCCCAAATATCCAGGGATGCTGGTTCTCCTTTTGGTTCTCCTGTGAAACCAAGCAAAAAGGGGTTCCCTAAAAAAAGACACACTTCCATTTGCTGAAATGAATATTCGTTATTTCTCCCTGTTGGTTTAAAAGGAATCGATATCATATGTTCTCAGTTTGTTTTTCCCAGGGCGGAAACGCAACTGGAAGTAGAGCGCCGTGGAACTTTGCGACGCACACATTCTCTTCGCCCATGATGACATGTATTCTAATTATAAGGCTATATCCAAGTAGAACTCCTCCAATTTGATTTCTATTTTAGGATTTCACATTCTTTGTTTGCTCTACCTGCTGCCTTGAATATCCCTCTCGAATGGATTGTTTTCAGTATTCGAAGTAGGTCGTCCCTTTCCTTCCTACCTGAAATTAGCTCTTTGCAATTTGAACTAGTTGTGGTGCTTCGCCCAGCCACTGGATCTACCCTGAGTGTCCCAAACCGACCAAAACATGGCCCACAGCTGAGCTCAAACCCACCCCTGAGTAGGTGTTTTCAAGCATGGGCCCCCAAGTGGTGGGTTTCCTTTGACTTTCCGACCACCAGACCTCCAGTGCTGCCCCGCTGCTTCTTTCTTGTTCCGAGACTCCCCTGAAAAAGTCAACGACTTGGGTCAACATTTGGTAAGATACATCGTTGCCCTTGACCAAGCTTTTTTTTTGAGGGAACCCTTTTTGAGGTTTTGTTTTTCGGGGGATATCCCTGGTTTGGGGGGGACACTGACCGGAGTTCTCCTGACACCGCCAGAAAACCGCATCCTTCTCTTCGGCGATGTGCCCCTTTAAAAGACACAGAAACCCGTGGTGACTTATTTTTTTGGAAAGTGGCACCTCAGTCCAAGATTCCACTTGGCTGCTTCGGCTGAAGCTGGTTGGATTTTGGTGGGGTAGGCCCGACTTGAGAGAATCAACGGGTGAAAATTCGGTCTGCTTCTCAGGGGGAAAGGAACTGACCAAATGTAACCCAGGGTGTAGGGACTCAAAGTAGGTGCGGCGTCCTTGGACCTCTGCCGCGATCTCAAAGATCACCCCCCCCCCCCACCGTGGTGAAGCGGGTTGCCGGGAGTGTGAGCAGTTGAGGTTGGAGCCGCGTGGGATTCGCAGTGAGCCCTGAAGAAAACGCCCGGCAAACCGTTGCAAAACCTCCAGGTGTATTCCCACCGCTCATGAGGATACGCCGGCCTACACCCGAACAAAGAAGTCCCCAATCATTGCATTCTGGTTTCCTACGTTCGTATGAAACTGTGCTTGTCTGGCCCCAGGGCAAATGTAGCAAAGAGGAAAGAGGATGACGAGCTTTTCAGGCCTTGTGCTGGTTGGTGCTTCAGGCCATGTTAAGGACGTGTGTGGTCAGCGCAGCCTTGAAATGAGTTGGCTATGGACCTTTAGACCACAAGGGTTCCTACAACCTCCATGTCCTGAAAGAATTGTTTATATATTCCCTTTTGTTGTTTTTAAAGGGAATCGATTTCACGACTGGACATATCTTTGTCTCTTTTTCTCTTCGGGGGGGGGGGGCTGATGAAAAGAAAAACACCAATGTGGTTCCGAGCGCTTCGCCGCAGGTGGGCTTTCGCGCGAGTTTTTCTGCCTGCGTGCCCTGCGATTCGGTGCTCCGGGACCTGCCGGTGATCTACCTGCTGCGCCTAGACGGAGACTGTGGGCGCGGGGGGTCGCTGAAGCGGACGGAGACTCCGGGGATGCATGGCGCGTTTCTTTTGTTTAACCGGTTGGTGTCCAGGAAAGCTTCCGTGAGGTTCCCTTCCGTTTGATCAAGCTTCTTGGAGACTCTCGCAACCCAACATGTCGGCGTTTGCTTGAGGTGTGTGTGTGTGTGTGTCTGTTTGTGTTTGTGTTTGTGTTTGGGCTTGTGTCTCTGTTTGTGTTTGTGCTTGTGTCTGTGTTTGTGTTTGTGGTCTTGCTCGCAACGCCCTCAGATGGTTCCACGATTTGTTTGAGGGGTCAACCTGTCAGCTAGCCATTTTGTCAACCGTTCTCCCCTGCAAGTCCAAAATTGATGATCGCAAATGTTGAACCTGGAAGTTAGGTCAGTCTGTCAATCAAACGGCGACATTCCACACCTTTGGGCCGGCAAGTTTGCAAGGGTTGTTGCCTTCACCCACTGGTTCTTACTCGAAATCCAACCTTTGCTTTACAACACTCGGACTACTTTTCTATCGGGTCGCCACACAGATTGACTATTTAGTTCTAACAGTACTCGGACACGGGGCCTTTTCAAGAGGACTGTAATGTGTCACAACCCTCCTGTCTGCTTTCGTGATTGCTTGAAAGAGGCAAAGCATTCATCTCCTATTTGGATAGTTTGAAAGCCTTGTTTGTTGCTCCTTTTGCTCCTTGTATCTTAAGCTTACAGACCGAAAACCGTGCCGGCAGAGCCGAATTGTTGTAACATCACATTGTTTTCGCCTAGGTTTCAGGCCGGGTCTGTTTCTGAGGGGGGGGGGCAGGGAAATGTCGGCCCCGGGATAATTTCAGTCGCCCCCCCATGCGCGCACCGACATGCGCTCAAGCATGCGAAACGCCAGGCACGTGACCAGGTTGGGACCTCAGACACGCATATCTTGCATTCCGTGGGCGTCTGGTGCATCCGTACAAGAGCTTGTTGATCCATTCGGGTGCCGTGGGCCAACATCAAGCAGTTCATTCCGAGGTTGTTGCTGTCACGACAAAGCAAATTCAACGCCCAATTCGGCCCTGCTGAGAACTATAAAGCAGTGCCATCTTTTGTGGACCCAGACGGGCAAGAAGAGTAACAGGTTCCGACTTGTGCCGCAGGGCGCATGACAGGCTGGCTGTGCGGAGAAAGGCAACCCCATGGTTTGCCAGGATGTAAGTAACGATGTCTAAAGTCCGGAGTTTTTTTGGTACCTCCTGAGGATCGCTCTTGGTTGGAAGCAGGAATTTTTGAGTAGAAGAAAACAACCTGGTCCAAGTAGCTCCTTAGGCGAAACACAGCAACGCAACCCTCTGAAGCCAGCCTTTTGTGTAGACGCAAGGGTCCAAGTACCTCAGTGAAGGTACCAACCGAACCCTCCGAAGCAATGCGGGGCTCATGGGTCCCAGGCCCGCGGACAGTGGGCGCTACGTCTTCCTCTGCATGG